ATTTAGTTTTATTATATGGCTGTGTCTCACAAGGACTGGGAACTACCGAATTCACGAATTTGATTGGCTGAAATCAATATTGAAAGCGGTCTAGATTTTCCCATCTAGACCGGCATCTAGACCGGTCTAGAAAAGAAAGGTACAAAGAATATAAAAAATTGGCATATAAGACACAGCCATATAATAAACATCTTATTAACCGAGCTAGGGCGGTCTGTATGGGAGAACTGATCTTGACCTCGGTGGCTGGTACAGACCTCACTGCGTTCGGTCTGTATTGGCGACCTCGGTCAAGATTCTTCCATACAGACCTCCTGCTCGGTTAATAAGAACTAAGTATGACCAGTACAACTGGTCAAGAGGTAAAAGTAATCCCCAACGAGGTATAAGGTTTTATTCTCGGTGCGAAAGAGGAACCATAATATTTACAAATCCTTTTCCATCTTTCTTTTTTACTCTCGTTTAGTGAGACAGTATGTGATCCACGTTTCGTCCATGCCATTTTTATTCTCATCTGCGCTTTAAAACTTTAGTTTCTAAGGCTTTCGCTCGTATCACATTGTTGTGACAACATATTCTTAGGAATTTCTAGTTCAGGATAATTCGACGACGACTGTGATAATGAATATGATGAAGCATTAGATTTAATTTTTGACTTATAAAAAACACTAATTTGAAATCATTATTTTTACTCGTTCAACATTTACACCCAAACAACCCAATAGTGCGAAAATTATAATCATATGCTTACCAACATGCAATATAACATCAAAGTTTCCATTCAAAGCTTCGGATGTGAGTAATGACAGCGACTGTCCGTCTGTCCCCAGATCTCCATACAAAGCTATGCGCGGGCTCCAGTCTTCCCCACTCCTTGGAGTCTTGAAAGTGTACACCTCACTCCAATAGTCTCCCCCTCCACAGCGGTAATCTAGAATTAAATAGAATAAAATCAATCACTCTACCCATGTGAGAAAAGTGTGTCTCGGTAGCCAGTAGCTAATGATGACCTTGTAAGAATGTAAAAAATAGAGTTGTGTGGAGTCGTGCTAACTCCCAGAACTTCTAAACAGATTGTTTGAAGAGCTAAGGGAGATATCAGCATATGGTTGGCTAGTAACCTAATTTTAAGAACCAATTTATGATTGGCTGTTCATATTTCTCATTCCCCAATAATAGGGTTTCCTTGAAATTCCGAGACAATAACGTCGTACTTCGAAAATCAGTCTGACTTTCGATCGTTGCATGCATACATTCAAACGATCATCATGAACTTTCAAAATGTAATTAAACTACATCTATAGCCAAAAGAACTGTATTCTAAACATATGTTCTCGTTTTTAAACACCCATCACACCTCGAATTCTTTTTTTTATCGCTTCAAAATAACCCTACAAATGTTATGACAAAAAAGCCCAGAAAAATGAAGGCGTATTTTAACTAACACGTGCGTAGATTTCTTTCATTTTAAAAAATAAAGTCAATGTTGTTGTTGTTGTTGTTAGATCCAACTATAGATTCGTAATTCAACAAGCTCAACTTCAAGTTCACCCGTCGCTTCCTCCCAACATAAGCGGCGATCGAACTCTGAAGAAATTAGGAGTGAGAATTAGGATTTAAGAAACGTGGGAAGATCTTTTGATTACACTGAAGAATATCAGAGCGACCAATCAACGTTCAGTCATTTCGCTCTAAAGGTGGATTTTACCGACCTCGTTCCGAGGGCTTTTCCCTTTTTAAAATATTTAAAAAGGGAAAAGCCCTGGGAACGAGGTTGGGATTTTACCGCCTAATGGTCTAATTTGTGATCGAATGTAAGATGAATAAATTTACCCACCATACGACTGCTCTGGTTTAAGTCCCGTTAGTTTGGTCCTGTGTATGTATAGTACTCGAAGCAACCATCCGCCATCTTTGAATTTCGTCATGGTGCCTGTAGCGTTAAATCTCAGTGGCTCACCGTGAACATTGTATTCGACTGTTTGGTTTACTGTGGGACTGAATGTCACCCACGTGACCATCATTTCGGTTGGATCACCTGCACAATATAAATTGCAATACGTAAATACCTTGTGGTCATTCTTTGGAAGTCTTTCACACATCACATAAATTCAACACTAAGCTAATTAAAATTTGGTCAGCGCTGAGATCAATCATTATCCTCTGATAAACGTTCTTTCAAAGGGTCTAAACATGAGCGAGTACTAGTCCTTCCCAGAGCCTGAATTTTGTTTTAAAACCAAATGAGGCCTAGAGGCGAGAAATAGAGTTGCCTACAATGAAAGGCCTCTTAGTTTTTTTTTGAACCATGCCTGTTTTGGCATTATAATTCGAAGAGCCCGAGGATTAGGAAAAAAAAAATCCAAGTTGTCCGTTACTTTACTTGAGTACCTATCATAAGGTCACTTGTCCAATTTTCATCAAGTTTTTCTAAGACGGGATACAAACTCTGTATGAAATTGCAATCTACTAATTTCATAAAACTCACTCAAACACATTCAATTCTATGTATTCTACTCCGATAACATTGCGGATTTCAAATCCATTATCATATTTCTAAATTTTTAGTGTCTTATACTCAGTGATATTGAGAACCGCATGAAACCTCTTCTCAGAAAGCCTCATTTATTCGTAAAGAGGAACACACGCAGAATGTAGACGTAAACAAATTTTTACGACTGAGCACCGACGGAGAGCTGTCGTTAGCACGAAAAAAAAAAACGAGTTTGACAAAAAAGTCTCTTCTGGTCGCGGTATTTTATGCGAAATTTTGTATTCCAATCATAAAACAAAAATATTCATACAATGCAAAGCTAAAAAAAACTTTTCAAAGAGGTCAAAACAATGTAAAAACAATTTATCGTTGCCGTTAAGTCTACCTGTGTTCTATTGATATTGATAAAATTATCACGGAATATCTTAAAGAATGCAGAGACTCACAGTAAACGTTTCATCTTTATCCAGTTTGTGCAATGATGTGTGAAAAAAAAAGTGAGGTTGGTTTCAGTCAAATGTAGAAATTACATCCAAGATGAACGACAAGAAGGCGTACCAAAACAACATAATATCAGTTGCATGTAGAATCAGCATTTTAAGTTACCGTAACATTATGAAAAATATTCATACATTCCCCTTCATTCACAAGACTAGATTTCAGTTCTTTTCTCCCAAGTGTCACATCCCGCCTCTTTGCGTTAATCACTGAAGACATTTTTCCGCTTAAACGAAACGGAACTAGTCGGAGCTTAAATTGTTCTTGATATTTTGATATCGAATGAGCATTTTTGGAGGGAGCGAACCATGATATGATGTATCAAAAGCGACCTTATTTAAATTTTCTCGAAATTTTGTGGCTGGTAACATCGCATTGTTCTTGACAAAATTTCGTCGAACCGCGCTTGTTATCAAAAGGAAACGAGTGGATCTCTTCCTTATTCACGTAACAAGTTGAACATTAGCTTTTCTTACCATACCTGTACAAGCGAGGCTCATTTGTTCTGGTTGAAAAGGATACAAGCCCTTTTCAAGAAAATAAAACACACCAAACAGAACTAATCCAGTTATGCACGTGAACAAAACTGCGACACAATCACATAGGACAGACATCAGTGGTCGGTTTCAATAAACTGTCCGTCGTGTATCACACATTTTTACACCTCTTTAAAAGCTCGAGGAGTGCTTGTTTTAGATTGTTAATACTCTTCGCATCAGGTCATTTCGCTACCGAAACAGATTTGTTAATGTTAGGCTTTTGACCTCAAGGAGGCTAAGAGTGACTATAGCATCCGATTCTCTTTACAATATCGCCCCTGAAACAAACACTAAGGTCAAGAGAATGAAGGGAATGATCACTTACTAAAGATGCTATTAATCCTAAACAAAATCTCCTTTTTAACACCTTAGAAAGTGTATCAAAACAGCAAGGAGGATATGCGCACTGTTGTTAGGATATAAAGCTGAAAAAAAATGACGTGGTCTAGTGGAGTTCACGCGTGATTTTTTCATTGTCATCTGATGTAGGAGCCAAGGAAAACACTAAACAAAACCCGACGATTCATCCGGCAGAAAACAAAGTAGATATTTTGAAAAAGTCATTCACTCGCCAATTTTTATATTTCTGCTCCAATTTTCATATTTCTGAAAGTAACTCCATTTTGTCATACATCAGCAGAAGTGACAGTTGTGATCGGCTGATTAGTATCACGCGTCCCTCCATAGATTAAAATGTATCGCGCTTGATGTTTCAAAATTGCATCCCGCGTGGAATACGTACGTTGAATGCCATCAATAGAGAGTTTTAGATTCGAGTACGAGAACGAGTACGAGTACGAGTTTTGACCGCGCGAGATCTGGCACTAGTATCTCGTACTCGTACTCGTGCTGACGAAAATTGTAACTTTAGACTGTAAAACAAATGTAGCGATCCGCGTGCGAGGATTTTACTGTAACAATCTAGCCATGAAAGCTATCCTAGAAGCATCCGTTTACCTCCTTGGAGATGAAGAGATTGACGAAGAAGATTTCCTGGCGATTTATGAAATCGCAACGAAGAGAAAACAACATCCTTACAAGCAGTATGAAAGGATTGACGATGTTTTTGACGCCATTTCTCCTGAAGAGTTTGAAGCAGAGTTCAGGTTTGGCATCAAAGAATTACCTCTCCTTCTTTGGGCATTAGCAATTCCAGAAATGTTTACTTGCGCCAATGGCACGGTATGTTCAGGAATCGAAGGACTGTTGATTTTATGGAATCATGTCGTCTCTCGGATATGATTCCTCGCTTTGGTCGTTCAGTGCCCGCGCTGAGCTTAATCTTAAACGAGGTGATCAGCTTTATTTACATAAACCATGGATACTTGCTCGGAGATCTCGATCAACCCCGGCTGAGTAGCCAACATCTGGAAGACTTTGCTCTTGCTGTCCATGGAAAAGGAGCAGCTCTTGAGAACTGCTGGGGGTTTGTAGACGGGACAGTTCGCCCAATTTGTCGCCCAGGAGAGAACCAGCGTGTGATGTAGAATGGGCATAAAAGGGTACATGCCCTAAAGTTTCAATCAGTTGTTGCGCCAAATGGATTAATAGCCAATTTGTATGGACCAGTTGGTAAGCTAATACGATTATTTGCATCGTTCTACTGTAATGCCTCCCCTTATTTAAGCCCAAATTTGAAACTGAATTGAAGTGTCACTACCGTAAATCCTCGAATAAAGCGCCACCTTCGAATAAGTGCCCCTCCTATCGACCAAAATTTAAAATAAGCGCCCCCTCCCCTCCCCTCATTTTGTGGACAAGTACTGAGACAACAAAGGATGCATAGTTTTCGTCACGTAGTATTAGATTTGTACATTGCACTAATGGTGGTTTAAACTCTAGGATCAGTTTAAGTCAATAAACAGCTAATGTTGTTTATGTGCAGATGATGTATTAAAAAAATGGACATGTCAGGCCACCATTTGGGAAAAGTTAAATTAGCGCCCCCTCTCAATTAAGTGCCTCCCTTGAATAAGCACCCCCATTTTCTCATAAATTTGAATTAAGCTCCCCGGGCACTAATTGATTTGAGGATTTATGGTATCTACACCTACAGGAGTGGGCTGGAAAAATCAAATCTATCAGGAAACATTTTTGGTAGTCAACCCCATGGTAAGAGCTTCATTAAATGTTGCCTACCCTTAAATCCTTACACAAAACTCTATAACCCAGCCCCTACTAAATCAAAATGGCTATTAGCCAATTAATCTGGAAATGAAATCACAGTCTAACTCAACAGTTACCTGCAGCTACAAGAGTGTTATAACACTAGCTACTAAATAAATCCATGTATGTTTACTCTATAAATTTTCCTTTCAGAGGGTAAAAGGCACGATACTGGTATGTTAAGAATGTGTGGCCTCCTGCATAACCTTCAGCAGCATTCATTTGATACTAGTGGACAACCACTGTGTATATAGGGTGACCTCGCCTATCCACTCAGAATTCATCTTCAGGGACCATACAAGGGTGGTCAATTGATGGTTGACCAAGGAGAATTCAACTCCTCTATGAGTAAAGTCAGGGAAGCTGTGGAGTGGGTGTTTAGCAACATAGTAACATACTTGGCTTTCCTAGATTTTAAGAACTTAAAGATTGGATTAAGTCTAGTAGGTGTAATGTATTCCGTGTGTGCTCTGCTTAGGAATGCACGTACCTGCTTATATGGATCAACTACAAGCACCTATTTTGATGTTCAACGTCCTACATTAGATGATTATTTTCAGGTTTAAAACTCTTGATTTGCTACATCATAGTTAGTACTAACTTTGGCTACAGTAAAGTAATGTAATTTGGCAAAGTGACGAGGAGATAAAAGAGAAGAATTGAACCAAAATCATGTAATTGTATTTTCTACATGTAAATTTCTATTGTATAGTTGGCTACAAAAGGAGTAATTGATGACGATGGGATGTGGATCCATGGCCATCAATTTTTTTTCCATACTGGAGAATTTTCAAATCTAAATTAATTTACTTGAGAAAATCAAAATTGCAAATATGTATAATTTTTAATTTCAAAACAGCTGAACTGATTTTTTAATAATAATGCAGAACATTTATATGATACAACTACATATATATTTGTAAAAAGATGTAAAAAAATGTAATCAAATATTTTACAATGCAAACTCTTCCTTAATTTTCATGTCAGAAATATAATGGTATTTAATATGACAATAATTAATGAGAAGGTAATAAAATGTTTCAGTGTTCAAGGTTTTATCATAATACAAACTCATTATGTTCATTAAAGGCTGTCAAATAACGAATTGAAACTATAGTTTGAAAACCTCAAAACTGTAGTTTGAAAACCTCAAAACTATAATCATGGTTATGTTAAATACACTTGCTGAATTGATTAAAAGTTAAATTGTGAGCTAATCAATTCAGTTTTCAAGTTTTTTCATCAAAGTGCACACACCAAGTTCATAAAATTTGTTAAACAAAAATAAGAAACTATAGTTTCAAAACCTTAGTCAATTGAACTTTTTAACTATTTCAGCAAGTGTATTTAACATAGCCATGTTCATTCCTTATTGTTGCTGCTGGAAGTGCTGTTGTTGCTGCTGGAATTCTTGCTGTTGCTGAAGCAGCATTGCTTGGAATTGCTGTTGTTGACGCAATTCCTCGGCACGCAATTCCAGCTCTCTTTTTTGGTTGAGCTGTTGTTCAGCTTGTTCGGAAGCTTTTCTCTCAATGCTTCGTTCCAAGAGTTCCGTGACACTGGTGTGGCTTTTTCTCTTTTTGGGTGTCGTACCATCAGAGTTCTCTTCATCGTCCGAGCTGGTTCTTCGTTTTGTTTCATTTAACTTCTCTGTTGCTCGTTTCCTCACCTCTTTGGCTGCTGCCTTCTCAGTTTCTTCTTTCCCCTGCTGCTACTCCTGCCAATCCGCAATCTGATCATGGATATTGGTCAGGGCCTGGTATATCTCGTCGTATGCAACATCCACCCCACTAGCCCCACTTTCTTCCTTTTCTCTTTTCTTGAAGTCTTGGTATAACTTATCAAACTTCTCTCTTGCTGATCT